ACAATCATCAATCATCATTATTTTTAAAGTATAAACATTGAATATTCTAAAGAATGAATTTGGTAGCGTACCTGGATTTGATAGACAAAAGCAAAGAAGAAAATATTTTCAACAACATATCTTTGGTGGAATCCAAATTTTATTTCATACCTTTATGTTGCATATCCAAAAAGCACTCCATAAATTATCCAACTTCGGATAAGTTATTTTATTTTCTACACTTGCAATCCATCTCAGATATTCCAGATCAAAAATTTTCATGGTAATGGACAGTGTAAATATTTCCTCTATCTAGTGCGACTACGTATTAGTTAAAATAGGGTTAAATCTGCTTAACAAAGGTATTTATAGTAAAATTTGATAACTTTATCCCTCGGCTTTATCATAAAACCGAGGTATAAAATCTTCTGATTATAACTATCACCTCTTTTTTTAAAAAAAAATGGGGTGTAAAGTTTTTTTTTGTGGAATTTACATTATTTACACAAAATATTAAAACAAATTTTTCTCTTTTGAATGAATATCTTTACTGATATTCATCATCTGATTAGTTAAGTTCCCTTCATTTCATTGTGTAAATTTTTAAAAGAGAAGGGAGATTCCTTCTTTGTCCCCTTGAATCAAGAATGATTTTTCTGCACTTACAATCTATCAAATAAGCAAAAATACAACAACAACATCAACATTATCATCTGAGATAGATTGCAAGGGAAGAAAAACCATTTTATTCTATAAGAACATTACGGGTTTTTTCTGTCTTGCAATCCATCCCAAAGAATAATGCTTGCGAGTTTGGGGAGGCTACAAATAATTAGGATTGGGGTAAAATATTTTTGCTTTTATAGTAAAATTTGTTTAGTTGATCCCTCTGTTATATCGAAAAACCAAAGGGTTAGTTGTTTTAGTATATAATTATAATCAATATAAAACATAAATTGCAAAAGTTTGGACTCGAAGCGCGTCCATATCAGTTTTACCCGTCGTATATATTAGAAACCGAGGTAAATTGTTATTTTTATAATTAAAAAATATATAACATGGTGCGTCTAGGCTTAATACTTCGTTGTTTTTATGGATGACGTGAAAGCTCCATCATGAAATGTGTTATTTGTTGTAGTGCCAACATCTTGCTAAATACTTGTTTTACCAAAATGCAGTCAACAACCAAAACCTAACAATTTTATTAGAGATTATGTTCAGAAGGGTGTAATAGATATATAGTTCATTAATATTGATCATCAATGGGTCGATATATTTACCAAGATTCTTACTATAGAAATGTTTGATTTTATTAAAAAGAATATGAACATGCATTTTAAAAAAGAATAATGTTGGCTTCTGAATGAAGGATTGGAGTCTGATGATGATCATAAGTTATTGTGATTAGAAGCTCTAAATTAGCTTATGATGAATAGTAGACTCTGAAGCCTCTCAGCCTCTAAGGCTCATAATTTGATTAATTGCTTCTGATAGAATATAAGTGAAAAACATTTACAACAACTTTTTATCTTTGTCCACTTATGTGTCACAACTCTGAAAAGTCCTCTAACTTGTGGTTTTTATCTGTTGAGCATATTTCTTTAGATTTTTTGTTGTTTTGCTTGAACTATGGGCTATATTAAGACCTTAATTCAACAGTAATATGTTTGAGTTAACTTTGAGAGTTATTATGCTCTCTAGTAAAATAAATTTTTTTCTTGCTACCCTTAAGTCAAATATTTCTCAAATGTTTTTAATTATTTTTTTATATTTGATTAAAACTATTTTCAACAACGACTGAAATTGTTGAAAATTATTCTGAGGATTCTCTATTAGCGGCTCTTTCATAGGATGTGTGTGACAAGAGAATCATAAGTAATAGCAATGTGAAAAATATCTATTAATATTGATTAATAATTTCCAACAAAAAAAATTGATTAAGAATTTGTTACAAGTTCATAATCTTTCTTAAAGCTTAACATGTGCATTACAAAATAGCTACATCTCTCAGAATTGATCATCATTCCATCCACCTGATCTAAGGAAGAACACCCAGTCCTCATCAACATCTGATTCAAATTCAATTTCTTCAACACGATCCATGTCACTGAAGTCTTTCCCACCCTTGATGCTCATGTAGATGTGCTTGGACCCTCAGAAGATCTGATTCTTTCATCTTTCTGAGAAAAGCCCCTCTTAGAAGAAGTGGTCCCATTGGCCTTGTTGATTTCTTTGGAAGAGCTACTCTTGGAATTATCATATTATTTTCTCATTTTGTTAGAGATAAGAAGAGTTTTATGAAGGAATGTGACTTTGCTAGTAATGATACCCTTTTTATATAGAGGGTTTTGATTAAGCATTATCAGTTTTGGATATTTGCACTAATGGAAATGGAAGAAATTTATCTTCTAGTTATATAAGCTTATGTTCCTAGATTTGACTGCTGATGATTCTCATGCATTCTCAGTTGATAGGATAAGGCATGACCACCTCAAGAATTGAAGAATTGTTCTCTACCACTCTAACCACTTTTCAAAGTCTTTGAAACTTATCATTTTATTGAATTTTTTAAAGGTAGAAAATATATGATTTTGATTCCTTTTTATCCAGATTCAATAAAATTCCATACATTTTAATCCTTCTTTTGCTTGCTTCTTTTTTTATGACAAAAGGGGAGTAGCATAGGTATTTATGCATCTGAATCTGATAGGTTAAGTTTTTTTTAATCTGAAGATTTGCTTTTGTACTTTAAAGATAAATTTAATTAACCTGGATAGAACTTATGGGGAGTTTTACATACCTCACCCTTAGGACTATCAGACTCAGGGGGAGCTTACAAACCTCAGACCCTGAAGTCAATTTGTTAATTAAATCAACAACTATTTTTCTTAAATACTTGTGTTTGTCATCATCAAAAAAGGAGAGATTGTTAGAACAAAATTCGTTTGTACCACATCTCTTATATTTTGAGGATAACAAAGTATCTAAAGAACAATTGGGTATACTAACATATGTTCGAGTGTGCATGAACATAGATTAAAAGTCTGATTCAAAGTTAGTTTTGACAGTGCATTGAACATCCAAAGAGAATCCTTAAGATAAAAATTATGAAGATCAGACTCTAAAGAATCAGATTCTGAAGGAGATCAACTTCTAAAAAAAAGTCAACCTCTAAAGGACCAGAACCCGAAGACTCATACTCTGAAACTGATCAATGGTCAAAGCCTGAAGATCCCAGATTCTGAATGAAGTCTACTTTTGAAGACTCGTCTTCTAAAGACTCAAAATCTGAAGCAAGTTAAAGCTAAAGGATAAAAAAAACTCGGATAGGTCACTATCTAACTCTGAAGATATTTTATCTTATTCTGATCACGTGAAGACTTAGCATAAAATTTCAGAAGACGGATGGAATCCAACTGATAGTTTCTCTTGTAGCAAAGGAGTTTAAAATGTCCCTCCAACAGTATTAACCATATTAGGAAGTTTTCCAACGTCTCTGATGATTCTTCTCTCAAAAACTCATTGTGCATGAAGTCTTCTCGAACGAATCTTGTGAGTTCCTCTATAAAAGGAGCTGAAAACTTGGAGAAACTACAATATTGCGCCTTAACAAACAAAAAGTTATTAATCTGTCAAAATCATTGCACAAGCTTAAACTTAGAACTTCTTAACAATTGTACATTCTTAAAAATTATTAAGTCTTAGAGTCTTTTTGTATTGTATTTTGTTTACACCTCTGATTGTATATCAAGTGTAAGTCTTAAACAATCCTTAATCTATAAGATAAGTTGTTAAAAGTCTCTTACTTGTTGCTTAAGCATCTGAAGTCTCTTACTTGTTTCTTGAGCATCTGAAGTCTATTGCTTGTGTGCTTGAGCATTGAAGTATCTTACTTTTATGTTTGAGCATTTGGAAGTCTCTTGCTTGTGTGCTTGAGCATTTGGAAGTCTCTTGCTTGTGTGCTTGAACATTTGTAATCAGAAATGATTATAGTGGAAATCTCTTGAAAGTGCAAGGGGACTGGACTACTCCTGTTTTGTGGGAAGAACCAGGATAATTGCTTGTGTCTTTCTTTCTCTTTTTTACCTCTGAACCTTTTATTCTGCTACATACTTCAAACTCTGACACAGATTCTAACCTTGTGTTCAGAATCTAATAAGAGACTTTTAAGAGTGAAAGAAGAAAAAACTAACACAATTCAACCTCTCTTCTTATGTTTTTTTTTTTCAATTTCAATAGACTGTATCCTCGTTCTAAACAAACTTCAAACAAAGATCACTTAATGCCCATTGACTCGGCCAACCAAGTGGCGGATCTCTTCACCGAATCCCTCCACCTTTGTCCTTCTAATCTCTTGGTCACAAACTAGGAATGATTAACATCCATTCCAGTTTAGTTTACAGGGATTGTTACAACTTAATTATTGTATATATTTCTTTAGATTTATATTTTTAGATTTTCGTGGCCCAAACTATTAGGAGAATTGAATCTCTAACTTGACCTATATAAACCCACTACTTTCTGTATGGTTAAACTTTTCATTAATGAATTTTTTTTTTCTATTTATTTTTCCTTTTTTGATGAGGAGGGAATGCTTCCCTGCAGCTCTTTTAACACCACAAACATTGTTGAAATAGGCTTTGTGTAAAATATAAATGGTTGAAGATGTGAACATTCATCCATTAAACCCTGTGACAATCAGACACATTTATCTAAGGTTGTAGTTCTCAAATGCACTAATAATGGAGATGGATATGGTTACAATTCATGATAGCAACACTTTAATTCTGTTACCAATGATTTGACACATCATATGTGCATCATCTTGCACGCACTAATATATTTTCACATTTGTTTTTATTTAATTCATTAATATATAACATATAAAGATTAAATCATGTTAATTGTAGTTCTTCTACACAAAAAATATGTTCAATCATTAATTTTCTACTACACCATGATTCTTTCATAAAGCAAAGAGCATGAAAAAAGAGTAAAGAAAATTACAAAAGAGAAACTTGTCAAACATGCAAAATTCCAAGCCTTCCTCTACTAGTTCTACTAAGAAAAAATCTTCCACTTGAAAATGATCTCTTCATTGCAATTGGACTCAAAACACAATGCAAAACCTTTCTTCTATAACTACACTTACTACTTTCACTTTCATCTCTTACTCTCTTTGATGAACCTTCAATTTGTGAAGAATCATGCTCTTGATTCATATGCATAACATTAACATCATCAACAACTGAAATACCACTTTGAAATGAATGATCCATTGAAACCGATCTTCGAATCGATTCATGGTAATCTCCATTATCTCTAATCTCAATCACACTATGCCTTCCTCTTAAATTTCCTAAATCACTTAAAGCGCGAAATTCAGTCTTTGGAATTGGAACTTCTTCCACTTCATGCAATTCATTGTCTCTTTCAAAATCTACAATTTCATTCAAGTGTTGATTTTCTAAAGAAACTTCATTCCTTGAAGATTGTTCAATAACCGGTGCTGCTAAATGAAGTGTTGTTGCACTTGAACTTGAAGCGTTGAAGGCGAATATGGTAGCGCGACAAAGAGGACAATTTGAGTGAGATTTGAGCCATGTATCAATACAAGGAAGATGAAAAGCATGGCTACATTTAGGTAAAAGTCGAATACTTTCATAGTCTTGAAACTCGTTGAGACAAACGGAGCAATCTGTTACATCAACCAATCCATCATTCTTTTTGTACTTGCAAACTGTAATTGATTTAATCAAAGCTTCATCTAAGCCATTTGTTGTAAGATGCCATGGTTCATGGATTGAATGGTTATGATGATGATGATTGTCTTCTAATTCATCGTTTGTTTCGCGTGATTCGCTTTGTGACGATGATACTCTTCGGCCGCAGTATTTGGAGATTATGGTGTAGTAAGTGACAAGAAGAAAAGCACTTGCTAAGATTCCAATGATTGCAATAACAAGAGGAGAGAAATTTGAACTTGAATCATCATCAGGGAATTCAAAAGGAGAAGGTGGAGGTGGAGAGTAGATTGCATAACACCATTGCGGACAATACAAGCTACAAAAACCTTGAGAACAATCTTTGTTGTTCATATATGGAACCCAAGCTTTTGGATTTCCAAGAGAAGCCATGGCACAAAAAACCACCCTTAGCTCTTTTTTATCAATACAAACCCTAGGGTTTACAGCACTTGCACCCGAACTTGATGGTGAAGTATATGTTATATACTATCACAAGAGGAGTCTTATAAACATGGTTTCTATTTTCTACTTCTAATAAAAATAAACTAAAGAATAGGACCTAAAGACAAACGTAGAAGCAAGTAGAGAAATTATGAGAAGCTTGTGAAGTAAGCAAACATATAGAAGATGTAGAAGTTATGTTATTATCACCTAAAATTTGATGGCTTTAGAATGAGAGGTTTTATGACATGAAAATTATTAGTAGCATACAAGAGAATTTAAGTCTCTAACAAGGTAAAAGAGAACATGGAAAAAAGTGTCAAAGGGCTTAGATGTAAAGCATGGAAAAGGGTATAGAAAATGGGATGCTGACGAGTATACTTTAACTTTTTTTTTTGTTTACCTTCTTTTTCTTTTTTCATAGCTTTAATTGGTCTCTAGTTTTTATCTTTATTGGATACAATGATTTGTTGACTAAAAAGATAGTGGTGATTAATTGGTGATGTTGGTTAAGAATTTAAAAAATATCATAATAACTACTAAAAATTCACACATATAATTATTAATAACAGAGTTTGAATTTTAATAACAAAATTCAAATTAGAAATATCGATTTATGTCAATTAAAAATAAAATTTACGGATAAAAATATAAAATATAATACCCTTAATTATATACGTAGTCAACTTGATTATGAGAATATGTTCGTTAGGGAATAAAGGTGAAGTAAATAACAGATATAATGCATTTTAAAGCAAGTTATTATTATAGTCAAATATATAGTTGTCACTAATCACCTAATCAACCAATATTTGCTCACACCTTGAGCAACCTATTCTTCACTTTTCAACTTCACTTTCTTCTCTCCGAAGCCACTAAATTTTGTTAGATTTGAGATTATCTAGGAATTTTCAAATCAAATGATTCCTTGCATTTTATATACATACGGTTAGAATAATTGAACCTTTGGATCTAGCCATTTTATGGCCCTTGATTAACAAAATATAATATTCCAAAGTGGGAGCATATTTCGGATGATAAGGAAAATTAATTTAAATATCATGTTTGACATGCTTTGATCCATTTACATAGTTTCACTTTAAGAAAAAACTATTTAAAAGAATTAAGGAATATCAATAAGTAATAAAAAAATACAATAAAAAAAAAAAAAAAAAAAAAAAAAAATC